CATATAGTTCATTACACCTATAGGTTGCGGGCCTGCTAGTGTTCCACAGACCATCTAGAATAGTCCATGGTTGTCATCCCTACTCTGCTGAATGACGGGGGCCAACATTTTGGGTAAGTGATTCTCTCAAATTTCACCACTCACCCTCAACTCATGATCAATATTACTGATCATCTCCTTTATCCAACTCACCTATCATCACACACCCATTATTTCATCTACCCATGTTTTACCCAACATTTTTGTAGATAAAAATACATATACAGTTTAAATTATTTAAAAACATGTATAAATCACACCTTCAACATCCAACTCAAATAAACAAACAATAAATATTCACACAGCACGTATTTTATGTAAAATACTTCATATATATGTGTAAGGTGAAAGTAACTACACACTCACCTGATTTAATGAAAATCGGGCAGCAATTCGTTTCCTAAAACGATCGTTTCTAATAAAACCAGGAGTTTTATTGAGAAACCGGGCTCTGCGAAGGGTCGGGCTTCAAAACCGAAAAGATAAATTTTCCGGGCTTCTCGGGCACTTCGTGGCGTATTCCGGGGGTTATAATTGATACCGGGGCTTCGAGGGAAGTTGAAATGAAAGAAATATTGAAAAAAGGGCTAAAAATGACAAGTTTTCAAAGTTTACCCGGGAGGTCTCGCACCCTCCTATTTATAGGGTTGAGCCTCTTGATCCAACGGCTGAGAAGAAGCCACGCATCGCAGATCCGAGGGCTCGCAGGGAAGGCTCGCACGTGGGCTCGCACATGGCTGCGCATGCGAGGGCCTCGCTGGAGGCTTCTGATTGGACCGCTTCGGACAACTGGTGCGACACGCGTCAGGGCGAGGTAAGGCGGCTTCGGATGGAGGAGTCACCTGGCACGCGTCGGACTCTCGGTTGCACACGCGTCGCTCCTCGGATGCTTCCATGACTTCGGTGACTCATCAGAATTTCAGACACGTGGCACCTGCGAGGTGAGGACACGTGGCCGAAGTCCACCTATGCGAAATTCCTCGGTTTTGGGGATTTTTTCTCGTTTTTCGTGCCAAAACTTCTAAAATCCATAACTTTCGCATACGAGCTCCGTTTTTTACGTTCTTTATATTCTCGCGTAGGTAAAATTACGCTCTACAACTTCCGTTTAGACTTCGTCGGCTAATTTTGACTTTAATTTTTTATATTATTATTTTTAACAGACCGGGACAGGAAATCCGTTAAAAATTCATAACTTCTTCATCCGACGTCCGTTTTCGTCAGACTTTTTACCGTTGGGCTACTAATGACGAGACCTTCGATTCTCATTTAGGTCATGTCGGCTAAAAATCATTCGATCTAAAATTCGAGTTTTTAGCTGTCTACTGCTAAGCTGAAACTTCGAAAAATCATAACTTCCTCATACGAAGTCAGATTTGGGCGTTCTTTTTATCGAACTTCTCGGTTTAACGAATACTACGAGTTTCGAGTAGTTTATCAAAAACTCACTTTTTACGACATTCGGCACCGTGCCGGTTTGTTGCGAAACTTCGACAGGTCATAACTTCTTCGTTATAACTCGGATTTCGGCATTCTTTATATATCCGTAATTCTTGTCATGCCCACCACAAGTTTCTTAATAGATATCGGCTTTATCTAAAATTTAATTTTTGACGCTCATTTTTATTCTTAATTATTTAAACCCTAATAATTAAGCATAAAACACATAAAACACATAATATTCACATAATTCCTTTTCATTTCTCCAAAATGAGTCACAAAGGTTAACCTAGACCATTATGTCAATATTAATGCCTAGCCTAGAAACACGGGCGTTACAGGCGGGGCCCGAATCTCATAATATTAATTGAGTATAGATATGTGATTGCTTGATAGGAATAGATATACTTGTTGTTTGTGTGATACTTGTATGCATGTAGTAGCGGAGTGTGGGCGGGACCCGAATCTCCTAGATAGCGGAGTGTGGGCGGGGCCCGAATCTCCTAGACAGTGGAGTGTAGGTGGGGCCCGAATCTCGTAGACAACGGAGTGTGGGCGGGGCCCATATCTCCTAGTTGCATGTTATGTGGTAGATTGGGGAGACTCACTAAGCTTCGTGCTTACATTTTTCAGTTTTGGTTTCAGGTACTTCCACTAGCAAGGGGAAGAGCTTGGGATGACTGCATGACACACACCACAACTTTTAGCCTGGGATGTTTAGACTCTGATGTTTTGTCACTTGATTTTGATACAATATATTGATATTATGTTTTTGGAGATACATGACTTGTGATTTTATTATGATGTCGATGAATTGTGGTTTTTCTTAAATGATTTAAAACGAAATTTTCGGACCGTATTTTTGGGATGTTTCAAGAGTGGTGAGTATTTTATAGTGGTTTGATTAAAATGTGATGATGATATGACGTTGAGGTGACAACATTTTTTGTATGGTGGTTAGACCTGATGGCCTAACTCTCTAATAGAATCAAATAAAAAATTGCAGCGGCTGGAAATCTTCAAATGCAAAACCATAAAATCAATTCAAGCATCTAGACCGGAAAAGATCGTTATATTTTTTATCGTTTAAAAACTCATATTTTGTTTATCGGATAAAAAAGACAAAAATACTAATTAGCACAACATATATTGACCACTTTATTGATTTAACCACCAAACATTATTATTGTTTTGTGATTGTTATAACAATATTTCAAGTGGTAAAATCGATAAAAACAATAGTTCAATGGCGAAATCTATAAAGAAAAATGCTATGTTTTCTTCTGTTTTGCCTTGATAAAAACTGAAATACAGCAAACGAAAAGAATTTTCATTATTTTATGGAAAACATTTCATGATTTTAGTATAAGTTCAATTCCATTGAAATGGAAATGCAACAAGTTGTGATTTGAAAAAGGTCAAATACAAAATAAAACAACTTACTTTCAACCATTTTAATATTCGCCGATAAACCTTTTTTTTTTTTGGTTGTTAAAACAAAATTTTGTAGCTAAGTCCATAATAAAAAGTAGTTAAAATCGGTTTCTTTAAACAATAAAAAATAATATAATGATCACCAATCAGATTCCGCCGTTAAAAAAAATTATAATATTCACCACTATGAAAAACATTAAAATGGCTAAATTCATAAATAATGAAAATACAAGTGTTATTTTGTATTTTATCCCGCACTAAAATTTCATTTAATTTGATCTTCATCAGAAGTTTCCTAACGGCGGTTTAATGGCTTTTTAGGACACTTGACTCAAAACGTCATTTTTATCCGTACATAATAATTTGTGCTTAATAGAGTTGTACAATACAACATTTTAAAGTATAAATTGTTGTGTATGGAGAAATTTTGTTGTGTACAAATCAATTCATTTTTGTTATACTTGATTTTATGCGATTTTTAAGGTTGGTTTTTATAAATAAGAAGTTATATGTGCGTAGTAATCAACATGAATTTATAATACAAATTATACAAACACAAACCTTAAAAGGGGAGGTGGAGTGTTTGAGATTACTTTTTGAAGTTTAAATATATTTTTGGACAAAAATATACTAATTTAGTATAATAGTAAAAAAGAGTTTTTAGAAAAGGGTTTGAATTACTATTAGATAATAAAAACAAAGGTTTTAAAAAACTTGTTATGGTTTTATGGTTTGTATTTGACATCAAACTTTAATAAAATATCACATTAACTTATATATTATATAAAAATAAATAATGGTATTATATATATATATATATATACACACACAAACAAAATCATCGTCTTAACTCACGTCTTACAAACGACGTAGCTCGTCACAGCTCGTAAAAGTTTGAGGTTTGACATTGCCGCCAAGTCACGACTAATATTATTTAGACCTTGCAAAAAACTAATAAGTCACTAAATTAAAAAAAATATTTAGTTTAAAATCTCATTTTTAAAGTTAAAGGAGTTAGAGTTTGTTTTTTAAAATGATTTATTGATTTATTAGTTTTTTTAAAAATCAATAGGTTAAAAAAATTGGTAAATACTAATTTTTAGTTAAAAAAATGACTTTTTTTTAAAAGAATTTTTGATTTTTTTGAAAAACCAATAAGAAGTTTGAGAAGTAATCATATAATAATAAAGAAAAGAACAAAAAAAAAAATTCAAAAATCTAGTTTTATACGAAATCTTGTAAAATATAATGAAAAAGTTATTTTAAAAAAATACTTTTAAATATACAAAGTTACAAACATTTATTTTAACAAACTGACTTTACCAACACCCCTAAATCATTTTAAAAGGATCTTTTCTATCCCGATTTAATCTTGATTCGCGGTTTTGTAAAACGTAAAAACGTAAAGTGAAAATAAATCCCGATCTTTATCTACTGATTTTGTGATGCCGAGCTGAATAATTTTCATCTTCGTTCTTCAACTTTTCTCAAAAGTCACAGTGAAAGTCAACAATCAGTGATCCTAGGGTTCTTTGTTTGGTGGGAAGATTCATTTGTTCAAAATCATGGGAGATCCAATCGTGTCTTCTGTAGTTAATCAAGTAATGGAAAGATCTACGTCTCTAGCAGCCCAAGATTTCGCTGTTCTATGGGGCCTCAAGTCCGATCTCCGGTCTCTACGAACCATTTTTACACAGATCCAAGCGGTGCTCGCCGACGCTGAAGTCAAGCAGAGGAAGAACAGAGCTTTACAAGATTGGCTAAGGAAGCTCAGAGCTGCATCTTTCGAGGTCGAAAATGTATTGGAAGAGGTCTCTACCGAAGCTTTGCTGCGAAGGCTTCACGTAGAGAGGGGAATCAAGAACCGAGTAAGTACATTCTTCTCCGCTAGTAATCCGCTCCAGTTTCGTATTATGATGGTTCAGAAAGTGAAAGATATTAAAGATTTGTTGAACGCAATCGCAGCCGAGAGAATCATGTTTGAATTGGAAGAAGGGATTAATATTTCAGAAGTTGTTGCTGATATAGAAACCAGGATAATCAGCTCGATAGATTCTGAGATTGTAGGAAGAGATGAGGAGAAAGAAATGATTATTGACAAGATATGCACCAATTTGAACAGTCTAGATCATGATCATGTACATGTCTATGCCATATGGGGTGTGGGGGGTTTGGGTAAAACCACACTTGCTCAACTGATTTTCAACGATTCAAGAGTAGATAAGTTGTTTGATTTCAAACTCTGGTTGCATGTATCCAATGACTTCAGCATCGAAAGACTAGCTAGAGAAATTTTGAAGTGTATAGAAGGTGATTCCTCCAATCTCTCACTCATGGAGCTTGAACCATTGCAACAACGACTCCAAGAGAAATTACAGAGAAGAAGATTCCTCTTGGTTTTGGATGATGTCAAAAATGAGAGCAATGAGGAATGGAATGGATTGATGCAAGCATTGAGGTGTGGATGTAAAGGCAGTGCTATTCTGGTAACAACTCAAAGCATGAAACTTGCTGATACAATAGCTACCCTTCCCACATTAGTACATCCACTCAGTTGCTTATCAGAAAGTGATTCTTGGTTGTTATTCAAACATTATGCATTTGGTGTTGAAAGAGAACTAGAAAGTACAGAGTTTGAGACAATCGGCAAAGCAATTGTGAAGAAATGTGAGGGTTTGCCTTTAGCATTAAAGGTCATAGGAAGCTTAATGTGCCTCAAAAGTAGCATAAGCGATTGGTTGTGTATACTACAAAGTGAAGTTTGGGAGCTGACAGATGAAGGAACTCATACTCATATCTTACCATCTTTGAAGCTAAGCTATGACAATTTGCCTCCACATATGAGACAATGTTTTGCTTTATGTTCTATATTCCCAAAACACCATGAAATGGACAAACAATTGTTGGTAGAGCTTTGGGTGGCTTATGGTTTTGTCCCATCAAGAGGTGATTCTGACTTATACGATTTAGGTGAAGAGATATTCAATGCTTTAGTTTGGAGGTCCTTCTTGCAAGATGTCAAAGAATGCATCTTTGAAGGTGTTACAACGTGTAAAATGCATGATGAGATGCATAATCTTGCACAATCTGTTATGAAGTACGAATGTTCAAGCATAATGTCTGGTGAAATACTAAAATTCCCTGAAGAAGTTCTTCATTTATCTTCTAATGACATCATATATCTATCAAATGAAGTAATGGCAAAAGCAAAATCCTTGCGTTCACTCATCACTTTTGAAGGTTTTTCAAGAATTCCTACCCCTGACTACATCTTTGAACAAAGGTATCTCAGAGTGTTACATTTAGGGTCAAGTTCAGATATGCTAACAGATTTACCAGAGTCAGTTGGAAACCTAAAGTTTCTTAGGTATCTTAATGTCTCACGCTCAAAGATTGCTGCTTTACCTAACTCCATTGTTCAACTCCAAAACCTACAAACCCTAAAACTAACCTTTTGTGAAAATCTCTCTGAATTACCTGAAGGAATCAGGTACATGAGAAATCTTAGACATTTGAATATCCACGGGTGTTGCTCTCTTGATCATATGCCACTTGGCATGGGACAGTTACGCCACCTAAGAAGACTCAGCACGTTTCTTGTGGGCCAGGGTGTCCAAATAAGCGAGTTACAAGAATTGAATCTTTTAGGAGGAGAGTTTAGCATAAAGGGTCTTACAAATGTGAAACATCCGTTTCAAGCTCAAAGTGCAAACTTGAAAAAGAAACAGAATATAAACTGTTTAAATCTATCTTGGAATTGGAAGAACAGTAAAGAAGATAACATTCCTGTTAACAATTCAGAAGGGATTTTGGAAGCACTTCAACCCCATTTGAATTTAAAGATGCTAACAATATCTGATTACCCAGGTTCACGTGTTCCATATTGGATGGGTAGTTTGGTAAATCTTGTTAGTATTTCATTTGAAGGTTGTAGAAGATGTGAAAGTCTGTCTTCTATTGGGAAACTACCCTCTCTCAAGGTTCTTGAACTGAAAGAGATGGATGTTCTTAAATATCTTGATGATGAAGAAAGAAATAATCAAAACCTATTTCCTTGTTTGGATAAACTAATCATAAACGAATGCCCCTGTTTGATTGAACTGCCTTATATCCCAAAACTGGAATTGTTACAAATAATCAAAAGTAATGAGGAGATTTTTAGGTCAGTGAAAGAGCTCAATTGTTTGAAGAAACTTACAGTTGAGGGTTGTCATGGTATTATTTCGTTTCCTTCAGATTGGTTTCAGGGAACACCGGATCTCAGATCACTGAGTATTTTGGATTGTTTAAGGTTAGAGAGTTTGGAAGATGGATTGCAGTGTTTAAAAGCTTTGGAGGAATTACAAATCATGGGGTGTCCAAATTTGAGGTGTTTACCAGATGGGTTGCAGAATCTTGAAAAACTCAAGTCTGTGGTTATTGGGAATTGTGAAATGGTGAAGCTAAGGTGTGAGAAAGACGTAGGTGAGGATTGGTCTAAAATTGTTCATCTTCCATATGTTAAGATTGATGATCAAGTGATGCAGTGAATATGATGGATGTGAATAGTAATGTAATCTTCTGGTGCTCTGAATTCAGGTACTTGTTTATTTCATTCTTGAGTTTTTCTAAGAGATTCTGTAAACATTTCAAAAAGTGAAATATGTAGAGCACTAATTTCTGTAATTTATGCTTTTAGGAGAACTTACGATCCATTTCGGTGCATTTTTGGTTGTATATGTAGCATTGCTTGGTGTCGTGGTTGGATCCATGAAGTTGAAGGTGTCATACAAGAAGGTTGACCCAAGGTTTTGGAAAATTTGACAAGGATCATGAGCTTTCAAGAAATAGTATGATTGACAATGGAAGGCTCTAGTGGTAATAGTTTTGTGGAAACTTGGTTGTAATAGAATATGATTTTGTAGTATAGTGTGGATTCATGTATAAATAGGTAGTTTCTTGTTATTTGTATTCATCCCTTAACGTGTATAGTTCTCTTGCAAGCATTTTAAGAGCAATATAAATCGTTGTCTCATTTAAGCTTGTTGCTACTTTGTTTTGCTTCTTAAGGATCATGTGTTGCATTGTGTGCTTGAAACCATACATATCTTCAACTTCTCTATCCTTTTTTGGTTCATATTTCTTTCACATCCTAAAATTGTTATTTTTCTTTTCGAAATAAAAGCAACGAAATCAAAATGTATTCACCGATTCATCTTCTGTATCTTAATAGAACATATGATGGCTATTATTAAATATCATACAAAATTTTAACTTTACGGAATTATCATAAATCGGAAAAAAATAGCGTAACTGTAAAAATCTGAAACTATAAAAAGTTCAACACAGCTACAACATCCATTGTATATATAGTATAAACATTAAGTTATTTGAAAAACTTCAATACTCCTACATATTTCAATCTACCTACAACTAGCACTACTACCACCACCAAAACAAACACCGGTCCTTGTATAATGTATATCATCCCCTCATAAATCATAATCTAACACAATATACATCATTCTCCCAAAAATCTTCACCTTTCTGTATCTATAAATAAATACCCACATTTCTTTCAAACATCTTTTATAGTTTGTAATGCTTTAATCGTCTTTTGCTGCCACATGGCAGTTTCTGGATTAAACCTCAGTTCCCACGTAGGCCAATAATGCAAGTCCTGTTTCAATGTCAGCACCCGTGGCTTCCCATTCAAATACACCGTTTTCACACGTACAAATTCCCCATTTTCTATTTCCTGTATATCAAATCAAAAATAAACTCTAGATATTTCTTTTATACAAAAACATTAATATCCCTTCATAGTTCATAGTTCATACCTTTGTTACATTCACAAAGGCTTCCAAATCAGGAGTTGGTTTCCCATTAACTTCAACAATCCACTGAAGAGCATACAACCCATATCTATGCACAGGACTCCCATGAGACCACCTGAAAAGTAAATAGATTGTCATAATAACCATTTATAGGTGAAAGAATTTTATGCTGTAAGGGTAAAAGACGATTATACCCATACCTTGTCACATACACACCATGTCCTTCATCTGGCAAAAACCCGAGTGCACGCACAGCCGGATGCGGATCCTGTAAGAAACATCCACACCAATTAATCACACGCGTTGTCCCATTCCCGTCTCTCACATCTGTCCCCACAAGAATTTCCATTTCACACCCCTGACGAAAAACAGTCAACAAAAGTCTTCCTTCCACCTCATCATCCAATTCTTGACACGCGTCTTCAATATCACGAAAACACGTAACTGCTTTTTTATTAACAGCCAACAACATATCACCTTGTGTTAACAGATTCTCGGCTTTAGATCCTGCTAAACAACCTTTGACCCGTAAAACTTGACGCCTCACAGGATCTTTTTTCACAAGATTTTGGATCCAATCATCACTCAGCCCAAAGCTTCTAGCTTTAGAAAGCAAAGTAGGGTAAAGCTCCACCTCCAAAATTCTAACCAAAGGCATCGGTCTTTTAATCCCATTAATCAGAAGACAAGGTCCTTTTTGTCCTTTTCCACCGGTTATAATCTTTTCGAGTATTTGGCTTATTGTATATATCGGAACACCTCTAACAAACTGATGATCTTCAGATGAGCTACCATATTTCACTTGAGTTGAAAAGCTACTCCATATGGCTTTCACTCTTCCTTGTTCATCAGTAAGCACTCCCGAAAAACTGCTCCCAAAATCTAAATAAATAAATAAATCATTAAAAATAATATGTTAGTGAGAAATGAGAATGTAGTATTGTAATATTATAATACCAGTGTCGAGTTCGATTACTTCCATATTTGTTGCTCTGTAGCGTGGAGAATCTGCTGAGCTGATATTTAAAGCAGCACATGGATTTGTTACAACTGATTTTCTAGATGTTGCTTGTAAGCTTCTACTTAATCCCACTAGGTATACAGATTCACCACGTCTTAATGCAGGTTCTGAAAATAATAAATAAATAAAAAGTAAATAGAATTTGAAATAAGTCAATAACTGAATAAGCAGAATGAGAAAACGTTGAAATACCAGGAAGAAGTTGAGCAGCTTGGACTACAGAAGCTCCTGTGGGCCCTAATGCTGAAGGGTCGTATGCCACAAGAGCATAGTTGTGAACAGGGTGGAGGAAGACAACTTCACCAGGGATTTCAACAGGAAAGGCTGCAAATGACAGCATGATGTCAGATGCTGATATGGCGACTGTGTTTTTGTCAACTGCAACTAATCCCATGTTTTCAGAATGATGTATGATGACACCAGTTCCAAAAAAATGCTGTGAGTGGACCCCGTCTAGCATACATGATGATGGTACATAAACCTGAAAATAGGAACCTCACAAGTCAAAATAATATTTACAACTACGAGGGGCGTTTTGGTAAATTTACCTCAAACATGACAAGAGTAGGCTCTATCACACGCTCAGCAACAGAAGCATTACCAAAATCAGCTGTTGTAATTGTACCTTGAGAATCTTTTACATCTTCCTGACTCTCAATTTTAGGTTCTTCATTTAAATTATAATCAGATAGCTCTTCACCTACCCTCCGTTTCTTTACTCCAGTGTCAGATCCATCTTCAGTTTTAACACCATTAACCAAAACTCCATTAACTTTTGTCCCACAAGATAAAAAATTGCATCCATGAGGAAGAGCTTGCTTTCCAATCCATAGACCAGAATTATCATCACGAGTGTAAATCTGAGGGGATGCATACCACTCATGTCGATCAACAGTAACTAAAACAGACTTCCTCCTATGTCGATCTGTGTAGCTTATATATTCCAATGGAACCCTACCTCCTTTACAAAGCTTAGATACAACATTTATAAAGTCTTGAAGGTTTAAAATCTCTTCACCTGCAAACTTCTTTATAATGGCATGCTTCGGGACTCCAGCTCTAAAAAACATGTAACCAGGTTCCGAGACGTAAACAAGACCACATTGGAACCGAAAGTTTCTAGCTTGTTGATATGAAAGTGGGTGTATCACAGCTCCACTGATTTCCAAGAAATAGTTTGGAGTTATCGAGTGTAAATCTTCAACTGTTAATTTCACATTCAAAGGTTTCCCACCTCTTTCGAGTTCTAAGTCAACGTTTTGGTCAACGCTATTGTCGAGTAGAGTTTCCATTTTTAGAAACTGAGTAGTTACCTCGTTGTTCATGCGGATGAGTACATCACCTGGCTCTAACTTTTTATGAGCTGGCCCGCCAGGTACCTTACAGAATGCCACATCATCAGCCATGTGTAACAAACTAGTAATTCATCAATGGAAGTGTAATTAAAAAAAAAAACTTACTACAGAATCAACAACGAGCATTCCAGTTTCAGATAGAGGAGATGCAAGGCGAACTAACTGCTCTGTTTGACTTTGAAGACCGAGTCTACGAGTCTCATCAAATCCTTTGTGGATAAATGTTGTCTGAAGGGTGCCACGTGGTATTGTAACAGCTTCCCATTTATCTTGAAATGAATCTTTTCCCTTTTGTAAGAAATTTAGAGCCCTAACCACCTGTACATGTATCAATGCATATGCATGTGAAAAAGACTGACAAATTGAATTGGATATAAGGATAAAGGATTATATAGTATAGTTACTCGTTCTAAAGGTAAGAAGAATGCTGAAGCACTTGAAGATTTGCTTCCAGCATTTAAGGCAACAGCTCGTCCTTGCCAATCAACAACTGGGGACCCACTTGAACCACCTTTAGTACCTGAAGCTGCCTGTTGTAAAGAAAGAAATGAAAAAAGAATAAAAATTAACAGCTTTGTTACCATAATTGTAAAGTAATTGTAATAGTATGAAGAAGCTCACCTGCATGTAGAATGTATTGAAATCATTGTAGCCATCCCTGCAACATGGAGAAGACTCATCATTAATACTTGATAAATCATAATCTATAACACAAGAAGTGAAATGTGGTGAAGTGCATACTTTTTGTAATGTGGAGCATCCCTATCAAGACGAGCAATGGTACCAGCCAAAATAGAGACCTGTAAATTCAGACTAAAAGTAAATAACATCGAATATGAAACAGACAAGGAAGCATATCAAATATTATCAATAATCCTGATCTCCACAAAGATGATTTGTGTATACCTTCTCTCCACTATCATTACCAACAACTCTAACTTCCAATCCAACACAAGCAGCATCTGGAGCAAGGGGAATCTCTTCATAGCTCAGGAATTGTATTGCAGCAGGATCATAACGGAAAAATCCAAAATCATGAACCTAAATTGACATATCAGAGACCTTGTGGTAATGCTAATTGCTAAACCTCTCCAAGTTGAAAATACAGACATGTGTGACTTATTAAAGCAACTCACCGGGTCCCTATATATTGGATAGACTGGAATCTCTTCACGATTTACAAACATAGCTTCAGCTACTACAGGACCTATACATGAACATAATCAATCAGAAAAAGGTAACACATTGAAAGGAGTTACTTTTCCTTGTAGATGAACATTGAATAGATGACACTGAATTTACCATCCATTATCACTTTTACGAGTCTATAACTCTATCCTCGATAATCATGAATCTTAGAAACCAGTCTTTAATTGGGAAAAACAGATAAGCAGAGTAACTAACCTGGTTTAACCACATGACGATTGGTTAGTATAATTCCCCGACTCTTATCGACAACAAACCCCGTAGCGTAGCTTGCACCTGCCGATTCGGTATCAAAAGCTCGACAAGCAGTAGTTCGGAGTACCACCACCGCCGGTACCACCTTTTGCAGCGCCTTCCTCCAATCCTCAGCAGTAGCGAGGTTTTCTTTGAACGGAGGATCGATTTCCATAGACAATTCATCCTTCATTCCCGAAGACTCCGATCCTAACCTTTCCAATGAGTCTCCCATCGCCTAAATCTCGCGAATTTCGATTTTTTTTTTCGGCGATAATTACTGAGTCGTGATTTAGGGCTAATGTGCTCTGTATATGGCGATTTTTTTGACGAGCTTATGAGTATATATACATAAATGATATATATATCTGCGAGTCAAAGTACGGCGGCTGGTGCCGAAACTCCGGCGACAGAGATGTGACTTTGTCAGTGAGAAAGATTGGAAGCTGACAAAAAGAGTCCTCACTCACTCCATTCGACGTCTCACTTCCAGTTCATGCTTTTCAACTTGTAAATTAAATTACGAAATAGTCCCTTGCACATGGATGTTCGACCTCAAGAGCACCGGTAATAACCAAAATGAAGGTGGGGTAATTTTGGAATTTGACAGGGCTTCCATCATAAATTGAGTAAAGTGCAGATTTTGTCAAGATCTCTACCAGACCATCCATGGTCATTCATTTCACTAGGTTTGGCTAAAACAAAACATAAAACTGTCTAAATTGAAGTGGTGTTATAACAAGAAGCAACAAGAAAATGGATGGTATTCATGGTGTTATAACACCCGTTAAGAGGAGAGAGAGAGAATTTGTGCAGCCAATAGAAGATCACGTTACATCTAGTCATGACCACAACAAAAAGCAACACAACAAAAAGCAACACAACAAGAAGTGTCACATCAGCAATAATAGCATTTCTGTTTGCCCTCTAAGAGATATTACTAATCAAACAAAAAGAGTAAATTACACGAATGGTCCCTATGGTTTTGGGTAATTTGCGTGTTTGGTCTCTAACTTATTTTTTTAATTCGGAAGGTCACTACTGTTTGTTTTTGTTACGCGCTTGGTCCCTACTGTTTGTTATTGTTACGCGTTTGGTCTCTGTCTTACCTAAAAAGACTATTATTTAAATAGGAAAAATGGTAGGGTAAGTAAGGTAAGGTGAGAGGGGTGGGGTTGGGGTGTGTTCATTTAAATAAATTAAAAAATCAAGGAAAAAATAGTCTTTTTAGGTAAGACAGGGACCAAACGCGTAACAAAAACAAACAGTAGGAACCTTCTGAGTTAAAAAAATAAGTTATGACCAAACATACAAATTACACTAAACCATAAGGATCATTCGTGTAATTTACTCAAACAAAAAATAAGGTAACCAATATATTTAGGCTAAGGGTATGTCCTTACCGACCCATTAGAAGAAGGGAAGTGATATTTTCATTTATAAAATTGATTCATCCATTTAAAATGTATTTTTTACTAATTTGTACTATAGTTGTAAAGGTATTTTATCTCATGTGGATAGATCAAATTATTTAGTGGAAATCTCAAAAATATTGTTACATCTACGCTACGTCATCTCTATTATATGTTCATTACCACACTACTATCATTTGAAAATGGTTACCATTCCATATTATTTACTTTTTATTATTTTTTTTTGACATTAGAATAAATAAAAAACATAATTATTAAACATAAATAAATATTTTACTAATACATTAAATTAAATAAAAAAACATAATTTTAAAATTCAATAAACATTTTACTAATAAAAAAATACATTACAAAGTGAAGATACATAAAAATTAAAACTTGCATTACTAATAAAAACATTGAAACTAAACTAGCAAATAGAAATTACATAGAAAATACTACTCTTCGTCGTCCTCGTTTTCATCGCCCACGTCCTCATCCTCCTCCTCGTCATTGTCATTATGTTGTTCAAATTACATTTGTCATATGTGTTCAGTCAAATCATGACGTAGATTGTGATGTGTTTCACTACTTTGTATTCTCAAAAGTCTTGTGAAGTATGATGGGCTTCCGACTTGTATTACTGTAGGTGGATTAATCATATCGTTCATACGATACGTACAAATAGTCATACTCTCTTATTATATTATCATGTTATGTAAAATAACACAAGCAGTCAACACGTTCGTCGGTTTTGCCCTATCCCATGCTCGTGTCAGATGTTTGATTATGTGCCACTTTTGTTTGAGGACTCCAAACGCCCATTCTATATCCTTTCTTGTAGATTCATGTGCTAACTTGAACAATTTTCGTTTTTCATCGGTCGGATAAGAGTATGACTTGGCAAATGTAGTGTACTCTGGATATATCGCATCACCAATGTAATACCCATAATACCAAAAGTTCATTTTCTGCTATACGACCCCGGTTGATCGAAGTTCTACGCTTCTTCTCGACATTTGAATGTTCAGCTCTCTGACGCACCATGTCGCGTGCCGTTGACAACAACGTGTGCACAACCAAATCCTCATCAGAATCATCATCATCAGATGAAGAAGAAGAAATTGAGGCCAAAAAAATATTCATATTGTTGAAGGAATGTGTTTGTAGGATGAAACAATATGTTTAAGTGTATGTATTTATAGGGATTATATATATATATATATATATATATATATATATATATATATATATATATATATATATATAAAAAATGATGCAATAACTTTAAATGAGTTATGTCAATTATACTCAAATATTGGTTCAACGGACATTTCATCACAATCTTCTTTTGGTTTTAGGTTTATGTTAAACCCGGATGGACGATATACTGTCAACACTATGAGGAGATGCATAGATGCAAAAATCAACCACTATCGTGGTCCAACAATCTTTTGGGACAAAATGGTGCCTTTAAAAGTTAGATTCTTCATATGGAGGGCTTCATTGTCTAGAATTCATGTAGCCACATCGCTAGCTGAAAGAGGCATATCATTCCCCAATCAACTGTGTCAGTTCTGCAACAATGAACCTGAAACGATCGACCATCTACTAGTTAAATGTGACTTTGCAAACGAAGTTCGTGAATGGATCTTCAAATGGTGTGGGATCAACACGCAACATTTTTCTAATTTTAGGGAGTTCATTGATTTTGCAGCATCCTAGGGGAACTGTCCAAGGGAAACAACAATCTTCAAATCCATTGTGTATTGTTTACTGTGGAACATCTGGATTGCAAGGAATGACAGGATATTTGTAACACCCGAAATCTTGAGGAATAATTTTGGAAATAAATCCCCTTTCTAGGGTTAGACACTGCGTGTTGGAGGAACCAACACGACGTGTCTCGATTGAAGAAACATGGCTTTCTTTAAGGTCAACACAGCATGTTTATGGAGAAACACGGCGTGTTGGCGGCTGGTTGAGAAAACCCTAATTTTTAGGGTTTTGCACCCTATATAATCTCCTTAAGTCCTAAGGGGTGGTCTTTTATCAGCCTCCAACTCCCCATATCGATCCTTGAGAACCCTAATCATCTTTCCCTCTTATTTGTGAGCCAGTGTGGTGTTTTTGGAGCCAAAGAAGGAAGAAGTTGGAAGAAGGAAGTGTGGATCCAACAAGCAAGCCCTCATCTTTCAGTTTAGCACTCTTCTGGACCTTGGTAAGTGTCCAATATCCGATTTTTATTCCTCTATGTTGCTAGATCTTGAGCTTTGGCCCTTTTTCTTGTTATTCTTGAGTGAGGGAATGGTTGGATCTCATAAAGTTAGCAACTTTATGAATCTCCAGGTCTAAGTGACCTTGTAGAGTCTTGGATCTGGCCTATGGTCGAGTTTTGATGCCATGCTTGGAGTGTGGGTCATAAATCCTCATTTTTTACCTATTTTTGGTTCAAGACATGCATTGGACATGCTTGTTTATAAAGCACCGACCTTTGGGATTGTTTTGGTGCTAGAACCTCTTCTGGAAGGGATGGGTTTCAGACTTCAAGGATTTATTGCTTCTTGGTTAAGCCTTTGAACCTTCAAGCCTTGTGGTTGGGTTTTGGGACCCTTTGAGTAGTTCCAAAGGATAAAGTTGGAAGCTTTATCCTTCTTAATAGCATTTGGGTCTAGATCTGAGCCTTGAAGTCCGTGGAATCGAAGAAAACAATTGAATGTATTAAGTTGTTGGAGCTCGGGCAAACACGATGTGTTTGCAAAGCCAACACGGCGTGTTGGCTGGAGTTTTCCCGTTCGTCTGGATGCTATCGAAACACGACGTGTTTGCTAGTAAAGACGGCGTGTTGGGTAAACATGGATTGTTGAGCTTGACCATTGACTTTGACTTTGACCAAGTGTGATCTTGAGGGTATCTTGGGTATTGCTGGGATTTTGATGGAATTTGTCATTTGATGGTTATAGGCATTTGAGTTGAGAGCTGAGATTCGGATTCGGACCTTATCAGTTATGTGCTGCTTGTGAGGTGAGTTTTCCTCACTATACTTTCGGGTCGAAGGCACCAAGGTCGGCCCATTGGTTGGATAACCTGATATTGTTGATACGTTGAGTATGGAATCGATATGCATGCTAGTCTTGATATGCTAGTCTGGTAGATCAGTAGGACTACATGTGACTCTGTCTGCATGTTTACCTGTATATGTTTGTTAGCTATCGACATATTGTGTCGGATTGAGGTTTTACTGCTTTGTGTTTTAGCCAACAAACCCTGGAGCATTCCAGATATGAGCTGAGGGCCGGGTAGGGCATGCCAGACTCATACTGAGGGTTCAGGTGCATTCCAGATACGAGCTGAGGACCTGGTTGCTATGCCAAACTCGTACTGAGGGCTTGAGGGTATTCGAGCAATCCAGATATGGGTTGAGGGTTGGGCAGGGCATGCCATACTCGTACTAAGGGCTCAGTAGCATTCCAGATACGAGTTGAGGACCTGATTGGTATACCAGACTCGTACTGAGGGTTGAACATTGGTATTCCATTATGATGATTGATTAGGTTGGAGCAAGCCAGACATAAGCTATGGGCCCCAAGGGCAAGCCAGACTTATGTTGTGGGCTCAAGAGCAGGCCAAATATGAGTTGTGAGCCCGTTAGGCAAGCCAGACTCATATTGTGGGCTCAGGGGTAATCCATTTTCTTAGATGTGGACCCAGTACATGTTGTTATTTGTATATGTTATCTGCTTGTGTGTTGTTACTTTGGGGGAACTCACTAAGCTTTGTGCTTACAGTTTGCTTATGGTTTTAGGTTCTTTAGATGATTTGTGGCAAGGTGAAGGCGTGACCGTACACATCCTTGGTTTTACAAGAGATTGGATCTTGGAAGACTCTAATTTTAAATCATGTTCTGGAAATAATGTTTTTGTAAACACTTTTGCTAATAAATGAGTTGTTTTGAAAAGTTTAAATTCGTTGGATTTTTAGGATGTTACATTATTCAAGGAATTGAGAATCCCTCATACAAAGGTGGCAGATAATTTTATATCTACCTCTTATTTGTGGTGCAAACATAAA